CGTTTTTTTATGGCGGCCTCAGCCCCTGTTCACACACGAGCGAGTTGGGATCAGAATTAACGGGATCAAGTCGTAAACATTTTTAAAGCTACGCCGAGATTTATGGCCGCAACTTTGGCACGGAGGCTTCCGAGAGAAGGAGAGAAGGGGAGAAAGAAAAAGCAATCTCATTTAAAAATATTTTCGTTTGGGGAAACATTCAGTCGCTTTAATAATCCTGTTTCCGTTCTGTATGTTGATGTTATTAATCTCAAATAAAAATGTTCCCCTCACACCCCTATCCTGCTCGTGACACCCTCCCGAGTCCATAAATCACGGCGGATGCGCCGTGACCCTCCCCCGGCGGCGGCCCGGAGCTCGAGTTTTTGTTAGGGTTATTATTATTACATGCGCGCCCGCGTAATACACCGCGCGGGCGCCATCCCGCCTCTACCGCGGCCTTCCCGGCCAGCTGGGGCTCTGCGGCCCCTCCGCAGCCACGAGGAGCTGGAGAGAGGGGGAAAAAAGCGGGGGAGAAGAACGAAAGGAGGAGGGAAAGGGAGAGCGAAGCGCGGCCCTTGCGCGCGCGAGGCGCTCCACGCAGAACACGCAGGGGAAGGAAGGGGAGCGGTTGTGCTTGGTGGGGGGACAAACTAAAAAGGGATGCTGCAAAAAAAGGCTCCAGCAAGGGAGGGGGGGTGGTATTTTTCTTCTTTTCCTTTGTTTTTGTGCTGTTTTTGTACTGGATCCCCTCGTGGAACGTGACGGGAAGGGACGGAGTGAGCGTCTCTCCCTGCGGGGCTCTTTGTTTTCCTCTGCTCCTTTTTAAATTGTTTATTAATTTTTCTTTTTTTTCTCTCTCTCTCTATTTTGCGTTAATTTTGGTAAAACACGAATCAAACATACTGCGAGAGGGCTGCGGAGCCCCCATCAGCTCCTTTCCACGGACTCGGCACTCGCCTTTGCCCTTTTTGTGCCCAAAGAGAAGGAACTGGGTTCCTCCCAAGGAGAACCCAAAGGAAAGGGACTTATGGAGGGCCCAGGATCTGCCGCAGCCCCAAACAGAAGCCAAGTGGGATAAGAAACGAAAAGGAGCGGAGGTTCCTTGACAGATTAGACCTTATTGTCCCCGTGACCTTTTCTTGGAGGAGCAATAATTCACCAGGTTAATGATCATTCCGCGGACGCGCGTTTGAATCGGCCCCGAAAAAATAAAACAAAACACGCAGGAGGCGGCCACGGAGCCGCGGGTCCCGCAGCGCCCACGCGGGGGTCGGGAGTGGGGGAGAGGGCAATGGGCGGCATCAGGGTGCTACAAACAGCTATTTTGGGAGCAGAGACAGGCTGGGAATCACCAGCTCCGCTTTTATTCTCCCCCCTCCTCGCCTTTCCAAATGCCAAAATAATAGCTTGAAATATGCGCCCACGTGACCAGGACACGTCAACCTTTTGCCCATTTTATACAGAATTGGTAAATGCCCCGCTCCCCCCTGCAGTCCCGCGAATCCCCCGGCAGCGAATTCCCTATTTTCCGTGGCCGGGACGGCCTCGCTCCCGGCGGCTCCGCGGGCTTCGGCCCTTCTTCCCTTTGCTTTTTTTTTCCTTCCCCTTTTTTTTTTTTTTTTCTGAAAACGAAGGAGGGAACCCAAGTGCCGGGAACGAGACCGCAGCAGCCAGCGCGCCCGAGGCTCCATCCCAAGCGCCGGGCAGGGGAGGACGGAGCCGGCTCTGAGGGCAGGAAAACGGGAGCGGAGCCCGCGGGGGCGGCCCCGGGCCCGGGCCCCGCCGCCACCTTCCACCCGCCCGAGTTTCTTGCCTTTTTTTAACTCTTCTCCCCGCAAAAATGGGGAGAAAACGCGGATTTCTAGACTTTCTGCCACTGCCCTTTCTTCGGGAGGAGCAGGGTGTCGGGGCACCCTCGCTGCGGACGCGGCCGTTTCTGGGACAAAAGGGAGGATTTCGGTTATTCCTGCAGTGATACTCACTCGCCTGAACTCGGGACTCGGCCGGCGCTGCAGACTGAGCTGGGCTCGGGGCGAGGGGATGTGAGAGAAGAAACGAGCTCCATTTTACCTGCTTTTCACCTGATAATTCCCAAGGACTAGCCATTTCTGAGGAGAGAGTCTCAGGAGAGGGAGGAGAGGAAGGAGCGCTCCTAAGGAACCGTTTTTCTCTTTGGGAATGTCGCACCGAGTGCCCACCGTCCACAGGGAGCCGTACAGGGACCGGGGATCTGCCGCCTCCCTCCACGCACACCCAGGCCCATCTGGGCCGCTCCTAGAGCCCTGGTTTACTGTAGGGGTATTTGGGCCGGCAGCCTCATCACCATATCAAAGGGCTCCCATCCATCCCGGCTCTTAGTTAATTTTTAATTGGGAGGGCGACATTTCGCCACGGCAATGAGGCAGCGCGGTGCCTCTATCGCGCAGGGATTTGGAAGCTGGAAATTGCATCGCGATCCCAACAGGATGGGTCAGATCCCGTCCAATGTCCCACTGCGGGGACAGCCAGCTGGGGGCATCGAGGGTATCTGGGACAATCCCCCAAAATCCATCCCGGACTCCTGAGCTGTCCCTGTCCTGCCCCGGGGAGAGGGTTCTGCACATTAAAAACCCCCCAAAAGCAGAAATGGAAGCACCATCAACATATAGATCTATAAGGGTAAATCTCAGAAAGTGACCATTAATATCAATTTGCTTCAATGAAAACTTTGTTTCTTCTTGAAGTTGATGATTTATGATAAAATCAATTAAATTACGGCCACTTAGGGCCTGCGGTTTCCTCTCAGTTTTCATTCGCCAACAGATCAAGGGTAAAAAAAAATCAAGTTTAGCTGGAGGCGAGCAAAGATAATTCTGTGCTGGAGAAATGTAATGCAAAACAATTTTAGGAAAAAATAAAATAAAAAGGGTCTGTGTGTCAGAGCTCCTGCTCTCTGCCAATATACTCGTTTTCCTCGGGAAATATTAGACACTGAGGCAAAACTTTTCGAGTTTTACGACGAATGAGAACGTTTTTAGAATAGGCAACTTGTCTTGGCTGGGTTATCTGGCCCTAAACGGAAAGGAAACAAACGAGAACAGAGAGTCCCTATACATTATTTATAGATTTTTTTTTCCAGGTTTAATTGGATTTATCGTGATTTTGGGGGGTTGTTTTTGCCCCACCATACAATCTCACTTTTCCTGCCTCACTCCTCAAATCCAGGTTGGGAGTTCACGAGGATGGGGAGGAATTTTTGAGTCCTAAACGAATAGCACAAGCCCAAAGAAAATACTCGACTCTCTAGTCCTTTCATTTACAATGTAAGTAATCTCAGAGGAGAAAAGAAAAAAAATGAGCGAAATTATCCATTTTTGAATTAACCCTCCCAAACAAACAAAAATAACCGCCGACAAAAAATAAAGCCCGCAGGTTTTGGGCTCGAGCCCTCTGAGAGCCCCCGGATTTCTGCATTTTAAATCTCTTCCTTACCCATATCGGTCAAATGCACTGGCCGCTAAACTGGGGAAGAAAAAAAGGGGGGGAAAAAAAAAGGCGAGCGGAGCAGCGAGAGGTTTGTCTGCCACATCTGGCTCTTGAGAGCAGGACTGCGCAGGGAAAACCCGCCCTGCACATCGCCGGAGCTTGGGAATTTTCGTGGAAGCCGCTGTAATTAGGGTCTGCTCCGAGTAAACAAAAACTTCGTAGGGTCATAAATCACCAGCACATACATTCTTCAGCTCAACATCCCTCTTTTCCAATGGGCTTTTGTAGTTTCTTTTTCAAACAAGAGCGAGGTGCTAAAGCTTTAACAAATGTGGCCCGGCCCAGCCTCGCGGGGCAACACGCGCCTCCAACGAACCGGTCCCGCTTCTGGACCGCGCGAGGGAAACTCTGCGCATCTTCAGCTCCCGCGGAATCGCTCCCGATCTGCTACCAGGAAAAGGCGGCTCTAGCTCCCGCTGACCAGTGGCGAAGCCTGTCAGAGCTCTCGGAACAATTAATTACATCTCCCAGCGCCGGGATGGAGAGGGTAGAAAAGGCAGAGCTGCCTCAAGGGTTTATTTATTTTTTGTAACTTCTTACCTGTGTTACCGCTCAACCCGGGGCTTCGAGGAGAGAAGGAGCGAAGGAGGATCAGGGTGGCGCGAGTTTGCAACTGGAGCAGGCAAATTAAGGAGAAGAAAAGAAACTACTTTATTGCACCCCGGTGGATCTTGCCGACAGCTTTCTCGGATGGAGTTTTTTTTTTTTTCCCAAAGATGCTTTGATTTTTTTGGGGACTAGCTCGAGTCGAACGGAACTCACTTGGAGAAAAATAGAAATTCTTCCCAAACAGCTTAAAATGGTGTAAGGATGCGGTCC